AACGGTGCATCCAACTCCTGCATCCACACTGTTGATAAATACATTGAACAGAACTAGCCCTGAGGACCACCATTGGTGACTGGCCACCAGCCAGATGTAGCCCCATTCACTACAACCTTTCAGCCATTTTTTCACCCAGTGTGACATGAAGCTGCTCATCCCACAGTTGGACTTGTCCAGAAGGATGCTGTGAGAGACTATCCAAAGCCTTACTAAAATCCAGAAAAACTACATCCACCACCTTCTCTTCCTTCGCTAGGCGTGCAACCTTATCGTAGAAGGATATCAAATTAGTTAAACGGGACTCTCCCTTCATGAACCCGTGTTGACGGTGCCTGATGATTGCATTGTCCTTTAAATGCCTTTCAGTATCACGCAGTGTAATCTTTAAATAATTTTTCTAGGAACTGAGGTTAGACTAACAGGTCTGTAGCTTCCTGGGTCTTCCCTGATGCCTTTCTGGTAAATAGAATAATGCTGGCTAGCTTCCAGTCAGCAGGGACCTCCCCAGAGTCCCATGACCTTTGGTAGATGATAGAGAAGAATGGTTACCAAGAATGCAGACCCTCCTTCTTGGTGGAAGGACAGTGGATGGTGAGCATAAGTTTATAACCAGGAGTTTCTGACTGGGTAAATGTAAGGAAAAATGTTATGTTGAAGTAAGGTGGCATCTGCAGCTCTGGGAACTATCATAGTCATAGGCTGCAAAAGACTTCAACACTGAGACTGAAATCTACCTTTCAGTCCCCCTGCCTTTTTTTTTTTTGCCCTATACCTATTAGGCAATGGTACTTATCCTACTTTTCAGAGCGATTTTTCGCTATTGCAAATAGAATCTCATTTAATGTTCTATTTCTTAGAACATGGATCAGTAAGAGTGCAAAACTATATGCTTTCATGCTGCTGAGTGGTTTGGAAGCAGACTTTGTTATATTATTGCTTTTCTCTTCCCTTTTTGTTCATGTGACTTTTCTAAATGGTAAGCCAGCACTAGCTTAAAAGCTGTTCAGTTAATCCAGACAGAAAGCTAAATAATTTGCTTCTGAAGAGCTTGTCCAGCTACTTTATTTTTAATTCTTCTTCCTTGGTGTGTACATGGTCTCATTATCTTAGCCTGAGATCACCTCCAAATTTAACTTGCTTTTTTTTCTAACAGAGTAAGCTGAAAGCTACTAATTATTACTTTATGAAGATTTAAATACAATATATTACATTTCCTCTCTTTTAAGCTTCATTAAAGAGGTGCTAGACATAAGATGTCAGGTTCCACTGCTAAATTTCCTTCTGTCTTTAGGTACAGTAGCCTTGTGGGTGCACCCAGTTCTGTTAGCCCATATGGGTGGTGATTTTCCTTGATTTTATTGCTCACAGACTATATGTAGTTTTTCAGCTTTATTATTGATTTTGTAATTATTTCCAATATTTAGGTCCTCTGACTAAGAATGTTTACTTCCTCATATTTATGTATTATGATAATGCCATGTTCATGGCAAATAGATTTTGAAGATAGATTTGTGGTTATACTTCTGAGTTTTGTTAGTGTACGGGCTCTAATGTGTCTGTATGTGGAGATAACTTAGCAAAATTTTTCTTTGTCTGACTTTATTGCGTTCCTGTGATTTTTTGCTGTTTTCTTAAAGGCACAGTTGTTTTCATGTCTGAATAGAAATTACCTGAATCTAGTTTAACTTGCTGACAACAGGACTTTCTAAGTATTCTCTTGATTTAGACCAGCTGCTTCTAGGCTATGTTCTAGGCACTGCAATTAAGTCCATCTCAATAAATAAAAGCTTTTTCTTGATGCCTAAAAGGATATTAGCAATGCTGTTTGCTTTGTGAATATCCTTCCATGGCAACAAGTGCTTTGTCAGTCAGAGCAAATTTCCTGCATGCTCCCACCTTAAGATCCAATGTAGTTTGAAGCTTTTGAAGAGAATCAGTTGCCCAAAACTTGATGTGGAGTCCCCAACATAAGAAGAACATGGACCTGTTGGAGCAGGTCCAGATGAAAGCCATGAAGATGGTCAGAGGGTTAGAGCACCTCTCCTATGGAGACAGGCTGAGTGAATTGGGGTTGTTCAGCCTGGAGAAGAGAAGACCCTGGGGAGACCTTATAGCAGCTTTCCAGTGTCTTAAGGGCACCTACAAGAAATTTGGAGAGGGACGTTTTACAGAGGCATGTAGTGATGGGTCGAGAGGTAATGGCTTCAAACTGGAAGAGGGGAGATTTGGAATAGATATTAAGAAGAAATTTTTCATTTTGAAGGTGTTGAGACACTGGAACTGGTTACCCAGAGAAACTGTGGTTGTCCCATCCCTGGAGGTATTTAAGACCAGGCTGGATGGGGCTTTGAGTAACGTAGTCTAGCAGAAGGTGTCCCTGCCCATGGCAGGGGGGTTGGAACTAGATGATCTTCAATGTCCCTTCCAACCTAAACCATTCTATGATTCAGTGATACTATGATTTTCTCTTCAGGTATCTCAGAATTCTTATTAAGATTGTTTTGTAGCATGTAAGTATACTGCAGTTATGTGCTGTTACCCAAGCTGCAGAGTTCAGTGGGTCATATTGGTATATTTGACTGTTGTCTTCTATTGAAGTAGATATTTTCAATTTCCTTGGTTGTTAGCTCTATTCTGACTACATTGCGAAGAAAACAAGAAGCATTATGTATGTAAAATGTTCTGTAACTGGCTTTCATAACTTGGCAGGCCTTTCATTCAGGTAATGGCGATATTTATTACTCCCTGATTTGCCTCAAAACTAGACAGTTGTGCAGAATTCAAACAATCTTAATATGAGCATGTAAAAATAACATAAAAAGGAGTACCTCTTTCAGTTTAAGGATATGTCTGCTAGGTGATGTTTTTTTCAGAAATAGTATCTTACTAGGCATAGCATAACTCTAAACATTCCTATTTATAGCAGATAAGTGTCACCTCTTTAGGTCACTTAAGGGAAGCATTAATACACCATCACATTATGCAATTCAAATTTGCTATGTAATGGAAAAAAAAAGATATATGTTTTTAATTCTTTTATGGGATTCTTGCAGATCTCATTCACTTCACCTGGAGCTGGGTTTGTTTGGTGCTGCTCAAGATGAGGCCTGTGTTGTAGCACAATGACTATGAATGTGTCTTAATGAACATTGTCTTCTGTAATAAAAGGGTTGCTTCAGATCGTGGGCTTTCTGCTCTTCACAGTTTTTAAAACAACCATAACACACAAACCAAATACCATTATAAATCCTTTCTAACAGGCTCATTTGACTATATCACTTTCTGTAGTAAAATTAATAGTATGCCAAGAATACTAACAGTTTCTCTGCTGTAGTGTTCCATATCTGTTATCCTTTAAGTGAGACAGATCAAGTGCATGAAAGTCAATTGGTCTGTAAACACATGCAAAGAGCCTGAATGTTATGTTAGAGGTGTGTGGGGGGGTGTGCTGTCCTTCTCTCTCTCTCTCTCTCTCTCTCTCTCTCTCTTTTTTTTTTTTTTTTAATTTTTAATTCTTTCTCACTGTTTTATTTAAAAGGCATGGTAAGTGTCTACAGCTGAGCAGTCTTTCTTGTGATGTACCACTTCAATTGGTGGGTCTCAGGTCATCTAGTGCTGTATAGGTAAAACTGACTGAAAGTCTGTCTGGTGTGTAGCACAGATTTGTTGGACATGTAAAGAGGAAAGATGGTTAATCAAACTGAACGTGGTGGTCTGCAGCATCTGCAGTCCCTAGATTTATGCTGGCCCTCTCTGTGGCTGCCAGCCTTGTGTGGCGTGTGTGCATTTGTGGCCTTTCCATTTATTCGTATAGCCCTGCTCTCTTACATGAGTCTAGCAGATCTGTGGGAATCAGCAAGACTCTTCCAACTTTTCTCTCTTGCTTTTGGGTGTTCTGCTCTAGAGCAGGGAAGTGTCTGGTTGTCTGCTGTTAAGCTTTTAGTATCCCAGAGAAGAATCTACACTACTCTGCTTGTAGTTGGCTGAAGCAGGAAAGGAAACTGGGGGAAATAAGGACACTTAGCAGGCAGGTGGGAATAAGGGGGGCCAGTCACAGCAAGGACAGTGGGTAAACTCCAGATGGAACTAGTGATGAACCTGCCTTCACATCACCAGAATTTTTCCAATTTCCCACCTCGCTCAGACTCTCACATTCAGTTTTCCTTGCCTAAGCTAACTTAACTGTAGTCAAATGACTTTGGTTTTGCTTCCAACAGAAAAAATTGTACAGTTCAGGCTCCCTTCCTGCCCAGCTTTTCCTCCACCTGCTGCTGTACAAAAGTAGTCACTGTTAGATGTGAGTGTTGCACTCCTGGGTGGTGTAGATGGCCTTGATGGTGTAGATGTAGAGGTGGATAAGGTGTTGGTGATAGATGCATCTGAGAACAGATGACTATTAGGCCTCAGTGACCTTTCCAAATGCAACCATTTTCAGAGGGCTGGCAGTAAAGCGGAGGTCTCTGCACTGGTGGTATGGCCAGCCTTTTTCCTTTCCTGCTTCTTTCAATGCCTGAAAAAAAAAAAAAAAGCGGAAAAATAAATATGTTGGGAGCAAATTTAAAGTAGTAAGTGGGATGATGGTGGGATGGTCTGATTAGTCTCAGATGCTGAAGATTTGTACCTATGCTTGAAAGACTGGACTGATGTGTGACGTGGTTCAAATTTAGAGCTGACTGCGAGAGCCTAGTGCTGCTACCAATGACTCAAATCAGGCCACATATTTGAACAGTGATCCTTAGATGCTTATTTAAAAAAAAAAAAAAAAAGAAAAGAAAAATCAGACCAAGACTTTTCAAATACAGATTTTGGTTTAATCTTGTTTCCTGAAGTTCCTGTAAAATGTGTTTTTTTGACAGTGTAGCAGTCTTGGCAAAGCTGGTAAAGGGAGTTGGTAATACCAAGGGGTCTATTTCTACAGCTGCTTTTGTTTTGAAGATAGTTATTTTGCACAGTTGCTTTTGCATTATAGGTCCAAACATGATTTCTTTGTGTTTCAGGAACACTCCTCATCCATTAATCACTGTCCTTGAAAACAGACCTGATTGCTGGCCAGTTCTACTGCAGCAGATAACAGTATTTTTCCATCAGTGTCCAGAGAGGTAAATGAATGAATAATTAAAAAATAGCAAATGTAGGTAACTGTATTGTGTCAGTGTCACTTTTTTTTTGAAGGCAGCTGTAACGAGCAGTAAGAATTCTGTCTTTTGAAAGAGATAATTATAAAATTTAATGACACTGTTTAAAAGTTAAAAGTAAAATAGTAATAAAATACTAGAATAATCAATCAAAAATCAATTTTTATCGTTTTTTTAAACTCATTTATGTTGATATAATTTTTATGGATGTGGAAAAATCAGTGCAAAATTGATAACATCTTTGGAAAATGTCCACTGGAAAAGTATTTCTGTTCCTGTTTCCTTGAAAATTCCTACAAATCCAACAGAGTAATAGTACAGTGAAATTGACTTCTGTATTCTGTTGCTCTGAGTAAACAGATAAGTTTATTAATCTCTTAAATTTCTAGTGGGCCTAGGCTACGTGATCGACAGTATGGACTTTCAAGCAGAAGTGTGTTTTGTTCAGTTTAATTGATCAGAGTATTTTTAAAATACTGTTTGCAGACTTGTTCTTCCACTCAGCTGCTAAATCTGGGACTTGTGAAGAGTCCTGTCAGATGTCTGAATGATGGAATAAACGGTGAATTTTTTGCTGGTGGCTTGTTTGAATTAAAGCAGGAGTTGTTCTTGCTGAAAAGGAAAATAAATCTTAAATTAATCTTAAACTTCCTTGGCTGCTTTTTGTGCAAAGGTTTCTGTGGAATAAAGTTCTAGAATGAGAATATAGAATCATAGAATCATGTAGGTTGGCAGAGAGCCTTATGAACATCGAGTGCAGCTGTTAACTAACACTACCAGGACCACCACTAAACCATGTCCCTCAGCATGATGTCAGCATGCGCCACCTATATTGATACAGATCTATTAGAGTTCATTGTAAAGCTCTGCATTAGAGCTGAGTCTTGTTTAAAACAGACTTTTAATTTTGATTCCCTGTATATTTGTTAACGTATTGATTATTAACTTTATTTGATTGTTTTAGTATTGTCAAGAACAGCTGGTATTCCTAACATGGTCAAGCCAAAAGAATTGTTCTGCGATAATTTTTTTACTGGGGAGCTGTCTTAGTTAAAGCAGTTCCGGTTTCATGTAATCGTTTAAGACTGTTGGCAAAAACTGGTAAGGAAGGGATGGCTCTTTTTAATTGAAACTAGTTTTTATGTGTTTTAAAAAGATTTTTCTGAACAGTCTTGTCCAGATGCTACTTCAGAATGGCACACTAGTCTCTCATGACATTCAACAAGGAAAGTCACTTTCTTGAATTGATGAGGGGAAAAAAAAGAGTAAAATGAAGAGTGTCATAATCTGCAAGTACATATTGAGTAGTATTCATGCTTAAATATTGAGTCTGTTCACAATTGCACTTCATTGTATGGTTGCTATATAAAGTCTCATCACAGCACTTCATGCTAATAAGTCAAAGGTTTTTTGTGAGATTTAGTAATGTCTTTTGTAACACCTTTCTGTTAATTGCCTCCTGTAAATTTTTGCAGGTAATGTAACATTGCCTGGGTTTTCTTTGTCGTTTGTTAAGTTTTCAGTAGAAAGCAGTCTTGGCAAACTTGTTTCTTGAACTGCAGGGCACAGAGTTCATGTGTTGGCATAATGGCTCCATTTCTAAGATACCTGTATTGCGAACCATCTCAGTTACGGGAATATGCTGAACTGCGAATGGGTTTACTTAAGGTCTTACTACAGCCTCATGGTCCAAAGCACAAAGAAGCACCCTCCATGCTGGAATGCCACATTCTTCAACTTCTGTGTGATTTGATTCCACACCTTCAGGTATAGTTGTTGCCTGACACCACCTTTTACAAATAAATGCTAGCAAAGCAATGATAGTATTATTATTACTGTATTTCAAGTGTGCAAATACGGTATTCTCTTGCATTTCCCATAGACCTGATTTGTTGGTAATACAGAAATCTGATAAGCTGGCCCTTTCTCATAGAAGGTACAACTTTTTAATTGTTTAAATCTGATACACCTGGTAAAGTCTAAATTGAAACATGTGTCTACCATAATTATTTGCCTCAGTAAACATACAGTAAACTTATAGAGATACCCATGAGAGAGAGAATGTTCTTAAGTGGTAAGACATTTGTCAAAAATATGTGATTTTTACCTTACATGGATAATATTAAAATGAAACAAACTATCTGAGAAGCGTAATTTAAGTACTTCTAGATATTCCTTTCTCTCTCTTTGTAACAGAGGGGTTAGTGGATCTGAAGACAAAACTTAATCCCTCTGGAATGTGCTGAAGTTTTTGAATGTGGTTTTAAGTTGCACGGTGATACGTGCTACGACCTAGGGATTTAGTCTTTCTGTCCCCTTTGGTTCGGGGTGTAGAGTGTTGGTTAAGGTTAATAGCTCTGATTTGCCTCATGCTTTACTGTGACATTGGTTAAGTTTTTGTACCTATGTACCTTTTCATTCCTCTTTAATATTAGAGCAGCACTTTCAGTTTCAAATATACTCAGTCAAACATGAGGGCTGTGGTATTATTGTTATAGAGGGAGGATTTAGTAGTATCAATAATGTAAAGCTAGATATGCTTGATATGAGGATATTTGGTAACATCTTCCTCCTGAGGAATTTTACTAGTAAAACCTCCTTTCTGCTGGTGGCTACTTTTCACAATCTTTTGGACAAATAACTTGTATTATACATGCTTATCTTGGTTCAGGTCTACTCTTTAAGATGACAGGTACTTGCTGTCTTTTTCTAGCCACAGGGACGTTTCTGATTTTTATCTTGGTTCTACCTGAACTTCAGTATAACATTGTGCCTTGAATGTATGACCAAGCTTCTGATTTGGTAACATTTAGCCATAAAAATGGCACTGAAGAAGACTTATCAAATTAGTTACAAACCTTTCTTTCCTCCATACTTGTTGGTGCTTTTTTTTTTTTAAATACTAGAAATCTGTTGTATTTCTTTTAAACTCCGATTAATACTTGAATGTTTTTGTCGTGCCTGAGAAACAACTTTCGTAGTAGAAAGGGAAATACTTCCTCCAAGAAGTATTTGATGGACTGTTTCATAACCTGTCATGGCTTCTCCTTCTTTCTCTGAACCTCAGGTTCTTCTTATCCTTCCTTTAAGCTTAGCCTTATTTAATCCTCTGTACTGTAAAAACGCCAAAATGCTTCTTAGTCATTTTATCTTACAATATCAATGAAGCTGTCAAAAGTACAGCTCATCACCTGCAGGCTTTTCTGCTGAAAAATTCAGTGGACATGAGGCTTCTAATTAAAGCAGATTATTCACAAAATTTGTTCCAAGGGACTAAAAATCGGGATGTTACCCTTAATGCTGGTTCCAGAATTTGGATTGGAAGAGCTGGATTTTTCCGGAACTCGTATTTTCAAGAGCAAAAATCCTCTCATGTAACTCATTAGGATTTTGAGGCAACCTCCTTCTCGAAACCTCTTTACTTGGCTACCAAGTATTGAGATACCGCCTTTGGGTATCACACTTCAGCTTTTCATTTTTGTAGTAGGTAGATCACATGGTGCTGTAGAAGAAGACAACACCACTGCCTTTCTCTTTTGAGATGTAATTTGAAATCTTGGTTACATTACAGAAGAAATATCTTAGAGCAGGATGTTTACGTTACAAGAATGTTTGATATATTTGTTATATGATATCACCACACAATTTGTTGTACATGGGTGAGAAAACCTCAAGAGTTGAATTAATTTGCTATTGCTTTTGAGGAAAAAGGAATTTTTCTCATCAGCTACCAAGAAATCTTTTTATTCTTTCACATGTTTCTAATTTTACTTGAAAACATTGAATAGCAGTTCATCTGTTATTTTTTTCCGGTAAGCTGGATAAGAGATTCTTGGGTTTAGTTTATAAATGTGTTTCTTCAAAGTCTTAGTAATATTTGTAAGGAAAATATTGCAGACCTAATAGAACTCATTCTAAACTTGGGGAATTCTGCATAGAAAGGGAAGGGGAACTAAACCAGAATGTGTTTTGGTTTTGTTGTTTTTTTGACTACCTCTCTACAGCTTAAAGACTTACTGCAAGTTACAGAAGCTTTGTTTTTTCTGCAAGAGCTATTCCTCAGCTTACTGCGCTATCCTGTGTTTTGGAAAGCTCAGTTATCCCAGTTTTGTCTGCAATTGGTTTGCTTCTGTGAAGTGTGTTTAAACGTAACGGGAGAATGCTCATCTTTGATCTCCTTAATAGAGGACAACTTTGAGCTCTTAAAAGAGGTAAGAGTTTATGGGGAAAAAAATAAAATAGTTGTATTAAATTTAAATTTTGTCATGTTTAAGACAATATTTAGAGACATTGATACATACCATTTGTCTGCAGATAACGCGTGTTGTTTCAAAAACTTTTTTTCTTTTTCTGTATATATGTTAACCTTTTAGTATGGGAGTTGGTTTAAACTGAGCTTAACTGGTTTGAACAAAGTAACAAATTTAAATGTTGTAGTTATCTAGTTAAAATACTATTTTTACGCTACTCGTAATCTTCATTGCATGTGCTGTGTTGCTGTGTGTGCACTCACTGTGATTCATGAAGAAACTCCTTCCGGAGTTTTAGTTGTTGCCCATTCAGACTGTTTAACCCCACTGAAAAACAAAAAAAAGTCTTGAACCTCTTTCTTTTTTCCTTGTAGGTATTTCCAGTGGAACAGTGTATAATTGGGCTAGCACTTCTACTGCTGCAAACACCAGAAAGTCAGCAAAAGTCTGTCTTGAGTTTAGGTAAAGCTCTTCTTGTGAAAGAGGAATCCACAGTCTTAAGGCTGTGACTTTGTTTCTTCATGTTTAGGAAAATAAGTTGGATAGGGTGGTGAAATGTGTTTTTATAAGCGGGATTGTTCCTCAATTTAAGAAGTAACATTTGATCTGATGGCAATGAAGATAAATTTTCCTTCTATGCTGACATTTTACATGAAAGTTGCTGTACTCCAGGATATGTCCCTGATATCTTGGAGCCTATCTGTCTCATTTTTGAGTCAATAACAGGATATTCTTAGCTGAGATCCATGCATACTGAATGGTTTCTTTTAACAGATCTTAAGAGAGCAAGCCTGGGAGTCACTGCAATGTTTGACTGAGCTTTCAACTTAGCAGTTTTGATTAGTGGCGTTACTCCAGTAAAAGTGAGGGACTGTGCTACATTCCATTATTATATTTCTTGCTGCCATCAGGTACTTTGCTATAAACAACAAAAATGTATGGAGTTTTACCAAAAAATTCTTCTGCTCTTTAAGAAGTATGCACATACTGTAGTTTTTGGGACTGTTAGTTTGCTCGACCAGAATATTTGCTAGAAGTGTTTGTGTCATGCTTAAAAGTACAGATTATGTTAATTCTTATTTCCCTACCTGATCTTTGTTTTTCACCACCTTGTCTTAAATAGCCTACAAGCTCCTTTCCTGTTCAGAAACCCAGAATATCTCAACCACAGCCCTTGCTTTGGTGATGCCTGTGCTACAGATCTTATCTTCTACAACAGTTGGGGACTGCCTATCAGAGGAGGATTCTGGAACTACCAGGCAGCAGCTGGCAACAGATCTTCTGAGAATATTGCAGGAGGAAAGTGTGAAGGATAAAAGGGAATTGGTAAAGTTTATAAGGTTTTTTTTGCTTCTTTTGGGGCAGATAGGGGATGCTGCATTATGCCTAGCTGCTTGGGAAAGACTCTACGTGTGTGAGGTTCTTTGTGTAATACATTGTATGGAAAGACTCAAAAATATGTATAGTCCATAAAACTAGACTACTGGTAAAGTGGAAGTGTGTTTATATGCTAGATACTGTTTTACTTAGGAGATGGGATTTTTTTTATTTTTAGAGACCATGCAGATTAAAGAATTCACCTGCATTATTAATCAAGTAACAAGACTTAGTAGAAAACAAGGTTATGTATACCTCCTTTGTCTCTTTCTGACTTGCTTATTCTACTCATCTACATCCTTCTCCTTACCATCGTATGTGACTTTAAGCTACTATTCTTCCTTCATTGGCTGAAAAGCGTTACGAAGCACGTGTCACTTAGCAAATTTCAGCTAATTATCCTGGATTTTTTTATTTGTGCTGTTGTGGTTTTGGTTTTATGTATTTATTTGTGTCCGATTTTGCTGTCCTCCACTCATTTGTCCCACCTGTTCTGAGAACAGGTGACAGCAAGTCTGTTTGATCAAGATGTGCTTAGCATTGTGGAAGCTAAGCTCCCTTTCCACCTTACACCCCTGTTCTGTGGTGTAGGGAGGGTGGTGATGTGACAAATTGGAGACAGAAAAAGATGCCAATTCTGAGTTCTGCCATGTCTCCTTGTCCTAGAATCCGTCTCCAACTTCATCTTCCATTTGCACAAATCTGAAAAGTTAAGCCCATTTGTACTCCTAATAAAAGATAAATGTTTTAAAGTTCATTAAAGCCTACACTCCTTATTCTGCTCCGAAAGAGTAGTCTGTGGGATGGCTTTAAGTACAGAAGGCTGCTTGCTTCCTTTTAATGGGACTTTCTAGGTAGATGGCAGCCTGGACAGGTGTCACTGGAGGTTTGTTTCAGTGAGAAGTGTTCCAGGTACTTCAGTCCTCTATGATCTGTGTCACTGGAACATCTGTTTTGTTTTCTTTGGTGTTTTAGAAGCTAATTTAATGTTTTATAAGACTACTGGATTACTGTAGGACACAGATTACAGTACACTTTATAACACTGGCTTCCTGTAACAGAGCTTTGTTGTACTAATTCTGGTATTCTTGCTTCAAAAAGCACTTGAAAGCTTTTCTGTTAAGGGCTTAAACAATTTGCGATGACTTTAACTGTTTCTGTTAGCCGTGATAAACTGAAAAGACACTTCTTTTTGGTGGGAGTTCTCTTAAACTGTCGTTTCACTTCTGCCTCAGTGATAGACATCCTTGTGGCGTTCTTAGCAAGTAGCATGGCAGATATTTGGTAATACATGTTTAGCAATGAGATTAAGGGGACAGAAACTCATTTTGCCCGAGTATTGTTTGTAACAAGTATGCCAATAACCTTTGGTCCTCAACTGAAAGATTAAACAAAAGAATTTATATTTAATTTTCTCATGGGTTCAGTCCATTTTTGTCACAGCATCGGATCAGTGCTAAGAGAATTCTCCTTATTTAGACTTTCCTCACACTTGAAATGGGCAAGAAAAGAGGTAGGAAAAGAAAGCCAGTGTTATGTCCACTGTGAGCAAGCTTTGAATAAGAGTATTTAAGAGCAAACAAAATTAAGTTGTGGTGTATTTTCATAGAAAGACAGAACAGTCCAGGTTGGAAGGGACCTCAAAACATCATCTGGTCCGGCCTTTAAAGTGAAAGGGAGCGTGGATGAGATTATTGATCACCCTGTTCAATTACATCTTGAAATCCTCCAGCGATGAGGAGTCCACCATGGAGTGGATGTCCCAGTGAACGATTGTTTTCACTGTAAAAAATTTCTTTCTTATGTCAAGATGAAACCTGTCCCAGTGCAACTTGTACACGTTGCCCCTTGTCCTCTCCTTGTGGCTTCTTGTGAAGAGATAGCTTCTGTTCCCTTAGTAGCTGCCATTGAAGTACTGGAAAACTGCGGTGACATTTCCCTTGAGCCTTCTCTTCTCCAGAGTGAAAAGACCTAACTTACAAGGCAGGTTGTCCAGCTTTCTCATTATCTTTGTGGCATTCCTTTGGTCCTTCTCCAGTCTGCATCTTTTTTTTTAATTATGGGGACCAGAACTGGACCCACTACTCCAGGTATGGCCTGACAATCACTGAGTAGAATGGTATGATCTCTCATATTTCTGCTAGTAATGTGCCTGCAGATGCAGCTCAGGATCCAGTCTACCTTGGCTCCTGCAGCAGCACAGCACTGACTCACGTTCAGCTTGTTGTCCACCAGGACCCCCAGGTTCCTCTCAGCAAGGCTGCTGCCCAGCCACACAGATTGTAGCCTGTGCTGGGCTCTTTTTCCATGTTGTCCCAGATGCAGGACTTAGCACTTTTCTGTGTTGAACCTTCATACAGTTCTCACTAGCCTGCTCTTCCAGCCTGTCCAGGTTTCTCTGTAAGATGGCTTTCCCTTCTGATGTGTCCACCTCACCACCCAGTTTAGTGACATTAGTGAACTTGGTGAGGGTCCTTTCAGTCCCATCGTCTAGATCATTTATGAAGCTGTTGAACATCGTGGGGCACAATATCGATCCCTGGCTGCCAGCCTGAGTAAAAGCCATTGATGGCCACCTTCTGAGTGTGACCTATGAGACAACTTCCTGCTCATCTTGCAGACAAGCTATCCTGTAGCTTGCCAGTTTGTGCCGGAGAAGGCTATGGGAAACAATGTCAGATTCTTTCCTGAAGTCCAGGTGTGCTCTCTCCATGTCGACAGACGATGTTACTTTGTTTTAGAAGATGTTCAGGTTAGCCTGGCATGATTGGCGTTTGGTAAATCTGTGCTGGATTTTCCCAGTCACCTGCTTCATTTGGTTTGTAATAGTTTCTAGGAGGACTCGTTCCACCACTTTGCCAGGGATTAAAGTAAGGCTAATGCGCCTGTAATTTCCTCGGTCCTCTTTTAGGCCGTTCTTGTAGATGGAGATGAGATTTGCCCTCTTCAAGTCATCAGGGATGCCCCCTGATCTCCATGACTTTTTAAAGATAATAAGCAGTGGCCTTGCAACAATGTCAGCCACTTCTCTTAACACCCAGGACCCATTGATTTATGTGGGGTGAGCCCTTTCAGAGGGCCACTACTGGTGGGTCAACACACGCGTTGTTGTAGCTACTTGATCCTGTGATCTCGGTCCAGCTGTGTGGGTAAAGACAGAGGAAAGGAGGTATGGAGAACCTCTGCCTTGTCAGCATTATTAGTAACTCATTTCCCTGCCCTGTTTAGTAACGGGCTTATGTCTTCCCTTTGCTTGTGCTTTACTGCTCATGTATCTGAAGAACACTTTCTTCTTCTTGACATCTCTGGCCAATTTCAGTTTTAGCAGAGCCTTAACCTCCCTGTCTGCACCTTGGCAGGCCCTGGCCAAGTTCTTGTAGTCATCAGTGGGTATGTGGCTGCCTTTCCATGGTAGGTATGCTGCTTTTTTGCTTTTAACCACACCCAAACCCTATATTTTCTTCCATGGCTTTGGTTTTTTTTTGGCAGAGATGGTAATGGGGAACTGTTCTACTTGTAGTCCCAAGATTTTGAAAAATGTTAGGATGTAGCTAACCTGCACTGCTAATTTGCCATTGAGAGATTTTTATGTATATCTCTCAGCGGCGGCAGACTGAAATTTCTTATGTAGCCTGCTTGAATGGGATGCAGCATTAAAGTAAAAATATGGTGATAGCTTGTTTTTATGCAGCTGAAATAAAGGGAGAAGGGAGTGAGTACAATTGTGTAGCAGAACCTTTGGGGAAGTAATGTGAAATGGGAGATATCAATGTAATATTTCTGGCTCTACCAATTTTAGCAGTTTTTTCCAGGCATTTAAAAAAAAAACTTGTAATACTCTGATCTTGATTTCAAGTCCTATGATCTTGTATGGGCAGGCAACTACACAGTACAACTTACAGATCCTGAAGCTCTTCTTATCCCACTGTGTGTACTTGGATAAAGTTTAAATATGTTTATCAATAAATGACATTTTCTCAACTGTATCCAGAAGAGATTTTTGGCTCTAAGTGATCTTGCCAGCCAGAGAGATGGCATTATAGATTGCTGAATTTTTCACGTACAGTAATTGTAATGCAAAAGTAATGGAATAAACTAATTTTAGTGTTATTTAAAAAAGGTCACCTAAAGTCCAGGGGCATTCTACCTTCCATTAGCCAAAATAGATTTACATTGCATTGAAGAGCGTGATTAAAATTAAATTCTGTAGTTTTATGAAGAACAGCTTTTGCCACTCTAAGTCTTTTTCCCCTGTTAATTTAAAGGGGAGTGAGCCCTGCCCTGTTGGAGTCTAAATTCCATTTCTAATGTTCATTTGGACACCTCTTTCTCAAGTACTTTCTTGACCTGATTTTTATAAAAAAGTCCTTCATCTAATTACTTCCTACCAACCACTGTATTGATAATGGAAAGACATTTCTGAAAACATTGCATTTTCTAAGGAAACAAGGATTTGGTAGGAAAGAGATGGTTTGTCTTGCGTTAAGCTTTTTTTTTTAAATGAAAAACTTTGAACTTACGCAGTAATTTGCAGGTGCTTTAAATATATATACTTTCATGTATATAAAAACCTGAGTTAGGAGGATTCCTCATTTGTGTTCTACTACTTTTCTGCTTCTAAATATTATTTTCCATGACTACATCTGTAGAACATTTTGTTCTGAGAAGTGAAACAGTTAAACAAAATGTGTAAAGTTGGATTAACTTAAAATGTAGTGTATTATTAGGTACTATCAAAAGTGAAGAGAATTTCCTTAAAATAACTTTGATGATACTTACACTTTTGTGATGCACCTGTCATTGTCAGCAGTGGAAGCTTTTAAGGTACTCCAGTTTTATTGTGTCCATTTTAGTGAGGAAGTAGCACTGCAAGTACCAGCAGGAACAGGAATGAGGGATCCCAAGTAAAGGCGTAACTCCTCAACAGAGAATTAGCAACCCATCCAAACATCATTCATGCAAGAATTAATATAAAGGGTTGTGAAGAAATGTATTGCAATTCATTCTTTGCATTTATTGCATTGTTTTAGATGACAGAACTGGATTAGTTATGTTTTTTCTTTGTTCTTTCATGGTACCGTATTTGTTTGACTGAGAATTTTGTTTGTTTCACATGTTCTTAGGTGGCCTGCAGACTTATTTTCCCCATAACCAGCTCTTACAGCTCATTGTATACAACCTGGAAGATCGTAGAGCTCATGAAAGAGAAGTCTGCCATTACTAACTGGTTATCTTCGGTGAAATCACTGCTACCTGTTACAACTCAAGTCCCTGCCCATGTTTTTCTTCTGCTGGCTTGTCTTCTGATCCGAGAAAATGGAGACAGTCTTCGTGATGTACTCCATGCTACTACAGAAATAGCAAAGGCTGATTGTTCTCAGGTAAAAACTTACTGTTAGTTGATTTTCTAACAGGAATTGGGCTGGATTCTGCAGCCCTAGGGAGGCAAGGCTGCCACAGCTTCATGACCCAAAGTCTAACAAGTGTCGAGACAGTGTCTGTATTCCCAGTAGGTAAATGCACATGCAGCACATGTGTACACCACATACCTATGCTTACCGGTATGTAATGCAGACACACAGAGCACTCACAAAAACGCAAAACAGCACCAGAGGCCCCATCCTACTCTGTTTTCTGGCTGAGCAGGAGGGAGGTCTACCAGTGGGAATATGTATACAGTGTATGGATATGGACCATATGTACAGTGTGGACCCCTCCAGCAATGGGGCACAGGTGGTCGGTGTGCACAGTAGGTGACCCCTGGATCCCAGTCTCACCAGTTGCGGGCATCTGGACATACAGGCCCCTGAGGCCGCAGGTCCACTGCAGTTGCTGGTGCAGACTGCCTCCCCATCCTGCAGAGACACGCAGGCACACGCACGTGCCAGCTGTCTGGGACTCCACTGGCCCCCAGGTAGGCGGTGCCCCTGTGGTCTTGCCCTTACACACACACACACATATGTACACACACATATATACCTCAAGCTGGCTGGAATTCACCTGTCGTGTGTCACTTACAGGAAAATATGTGCTATGTCACTGTTTTGGAGTATTTTTTCAGTTGCTTAGGCTTAGAAAAAAAGACTGTCTTGTTTATTGATATTATCTAATAAGTATGAAAATGCAACCGGAGGAATAGGCTACTAAACCATTTCTGGCTTTTCATGACCTCATAAATATTCTCTGTGTCATTTTGTGGTTACTGGAAGACAGCGAAGTTCCTCGTGATATCTATATTCTTGCTTCTCAAAAATATGTGCAGTCTGTCTGCTTCAGTACTGAATTCAAGCCAGAATTGTGCATTATGATTATGCTTATCTACATAACCTGGAAAGATAAATAGCTCTCACTACTTCAGAATTAAGAAGCCCTTCAGGCTGGTGAAAAAGTCCTTCCTGGCATGGGGAGAAATGGCTAGTGCCCAAATGCGATGAGGAGGTGAAGTTCAAACTGCATCATATTTTCTGTTTCTCTAATGGTCAGCAGAAGTCCATGTGAATTAGAAACTGTTGTTTAAAATTGGTATCATCTAGCTGGCTCACATTTTGTTCACTAATAGGAACTGCAAATGCTGAACGTTTAGTCTTTTAAATGACTGTGGGCTTTAAAATATTTTTCTGCAAAATATGTATTCAGGTGTCTTTTTAGTATTACCACAAAGAGCAAGCAGTATAATTAGTAGTACGGCAGGCATTCTCCTGGGTAATATTTGCAAGTTTGGTGTGAGAAAAATACTGTGTATAATGGGGGTGATATTTCCATTCTCTGTCCTTAGTTAAGTGCAACCAAAGACACCTGAATATTCTCCAGTTAGCAATATGTAATGTATTGGTGTCCTTTAAATTACATTTTTATTCCAACAGATCTTAATGCTTTAAAACTGGGAGTTACTGTCTGGCTCAGTTGAACTTGGGATCACCTGGCATCTGTCTTGACTCTGACAAGTTATTTTAGTTCTGAGTCTGCTTAATGGGCCCACAGAGATTATTACAGTTTGGCACAGCACTGCATTGAAAGATTATTGTGTTCTTTCTTGGAGGTGCAGTGCTCTCTCTAAGTCAGGAGGAATTACCTAGGACTTGCCTGGTCTTTCTCTTTAGTACTGGAGAGAAAGCATTGAAGCTCATGGGTGGGGGAAATAACCGATTACCTTAATAAATTCAATGGGCAGTGTGATGGCAGCAACCAGTAACGCATTGATGGCAAATTTACATGTCAGATTGCTTTATTTGGTTCTGTGTTTTGTTCAGTTCCACATAAGCAAATGATGCTTTATAGAAGATAAGGAAAGTAAGTGGTAAAACAGTGATCAGAATGTCCTTTAAGTTAAGGAAGTGCAAAGCTCATCACAACAAACTTGTTAAATGTTTTGAGCCTTCAGTTTCATAGGGCACTTTCTGAAGGACACAGTGGAAGGTGGTGTGCTGCATAGTAATTAGAAGGCTGTTCTGAAGAAGAGAAGATAGATGTTGGGTATGGAAATGAGAACAAAAAAATGGCTGTTAATCGCAAGGTTATTTTTAAACATTCAGCTATATTAACTTAAATCTGTTCCTTTGGTGTTAGCAGCACTTGAACACTCGGTTTAAACCCGGGTGTTTGTAATGGAAAGAAGATCTAACCAAGTAAATCCAGGTATGTTCTGAATTCCATGGCTTTGATTCATGTACAAATCAAAGTAAACTTGCAGGCCTTGGAGCCTTGCAAAAGGTAAATAAAATGACCATAGGGCAAAATGAGAAAATGTCAACTTTGCAGCCAAACTGTGGACTACTTGTACCAGAGCAGAATGTATGGAAGTGCTGAGATGTCGTGGTGAGGGTCACAGCATAAAAAAAATTGTGGGGTGCTTTTTTCTTTTTTTTTTTTTTTTTTTTTTTTTTTTAATGGATCAGGTTAATCAGTAATTCTGCTGCTGCTGAAATTCTGTTATTTTGTGGTTCAGATGATTAGCGGCTGTAGCTGTGGATATTGAGTTGAAAAGCCATGGGTGATTGCCATGCAAAATCTGAGTTGGAGAGTTGTGTTTCAAAACAAAACAGGGTCAGAAAGAGAGAATGTGCATCGAGAATGCTATCCTCGTCGCTTTCATGTTTGAAAACTCCCCTCAAGGGGTGTTAACAAACAGGATCTCCCTTTTCCACACTGAATGTTGTTTTTATAAGGAGTCTGTTGTCTCTGTGGTAAATTAATGGAGCATTTAAAAAAACCTTGCTAGGCTTAAAAATAATTACCGTAATAGATTTTGCAGAGATTGTTCTGGTTATCCCTTGTTTTTTGTTTTTTCTTACCTTTTCCATGAAGAGACCCTACAGATGACTTCTGTGTATGTACCTCCTCCTTCCCTATTGAGTAAAAGCCTTTTTATGGTGCTAGATTAGTGATTATATTGGATTTCTTTTTAGCTGTGGCGTTTTGGAACAGTGGTCTGAAACACTATGGAAGAAAATACAGAAATCTTTTTGAAAGGCTGACTAATGAAGAGTAGTACATGTGGCTTTTAGGCTGTCTTAAATCAAATCACTGCAGAGGCTGCACTGACATACTGTTCATGAAAGACATAGTACAATCCTAATCGGATGAGTTTTCTTGTTGTGCAAAAGCAGTTGTTATGCTCTGTGTGAAACCAGCTGTGCTGCAAGGGGAAGAAATTAAATTGTCTGATTGAGAGGTCACTGGTGAATAGTAGCGCAAGATCTATTACCATTATTAGAGGTTTATGAGGCTCTAGAGAACATCCGTCTGTTATGGTCTTTCAACTGCTGGAATGAAATATTTCAGTGGTAAACTACACTCTTCTGGGAAATCCATCTGAAGATGCATTATTTTGTGTTCTTTGGGAGCTGGGAGTGCATTAAAATTTATTTTACTTTTTTTTATTATTATTATTATTTGGTAGAAAACTTGTTTAAGGATATGTTGAACTGGATTTGTTTAAGGATATATTGAACTGGATTTGGCTTGCTTGGGTGATGCCTGATGATACTGTTCTGTGTCTGAATATGTGAACTTTGGAGAGTCGCTGTCATATTGGACAGACATACTGGAACAGGCATATTGGACAGATCTTGTGGACAGATTCTTCATGGTTGAAGCTTATTGGTTAGGATCCTGCTAGAGTGCATGAAACTTTTGAAAACCTAGCTTATGTTCTCTGAAAAGTGCTTCTGCAGTTTATTGCATAGCTTTTATAAACAGAAACTTATCTTCATTTGTACACTTACCTGAAAACTGGTTCCTTCATTTGTGTGAATTGTTCAGTACTGTCTTGCTCACCAGAGCAGGAAATGCCGGAGTACCAAATGTTTTTGAAAGCCTGCTCATTTCACTGCCTGGCCTACTGGAGAACTAGATTGATGCTACCTCTGTCCCAAAATTCAGCCCAACATTTCCCAGAAATAAAACCTGGAACTTTGTAGTGACATTTATTTCCTGCTGTTTGTTTGACTTTTGGGGATGGGGCTGGAATGATCTCTTAGTGTTAAAATTGGCCCAGAAGAACCCTCCAGGATAGATATGCAAGCAAAGAAAGTGTGGTGGGAATAATGTAAATTGATATCCTACTTTTAGAATTTAAAATGGGGACAGCATATGTTAATATGTGGTTGGATTGTATTTTTTTGAAATAGGTTTTTCCTTTTGAACATGACTTTACTTTGCTTACTGTTTACTGGCTGTCCCTTATTATTTGTTCTGACTAAAGGGCTGCGTGAAGACAATTTCTCTTCAGTAAAATGTAAGGAAATGTGAAGGAACAGAAGAGGAGGATTATCTTCCTCTCCTGCTATCCTCCCTTAGCTTGTGCTTTTGAAGAATAATAACTGTCCTGTAGCTTACAAAAAAGAAATCAGACCACCAAATTGCAGAGAATGAGAACGGTTCTCAGAACTATTTATTAAATAAAAGCATTTTGTCTCGCATGTTTAATCTTACTTTAAAAAGGACAGTTATTGACATATCTTGGCATCATTTTTGAGATGCAAATTAATTTTAAAAACAAACCCCATAACCTCAAAACCCTTCTTCAGGTTGCTAATGACAGACTTGACCTAATCACTGCATCCTCCTGGAGTGTGGGGGATGCAGAAGGCATGTTGCTAGGCAGCATGCCTCTCCCTCTCCGGAGTTGCTTCCTGCCTACTGGGAGCTAATGAATTGTCATATCAGCTTTTTGGAGCTGCTAAGACCTTGATGAAGATTTAGAATAAATTTAGTACTGAAATTAGTTCCCAGCATTGTTTATCCATTACACGAGGGAGATGGAGAGAGGAGCAGCTTTGCTGTACTAGAACACTTCATTTTTTTCGTGAATCTTATAATTTGAATATATAGTTCAAAACAAGTACACTTTGGAGGACAATACCTTTAAGGAAATATGTAA